GGGAAAAGAGCCGGGCCAAGGGGCCCCTGCCCCGGGGCACTGCACAGCCGTGGGGAGGGCTGCGGGATGGCGGGCAGGGTGCAGGACGGCGGGCAGGGTGCGGGATGGGATGGTGGGCAGGGTGCGGGATGGGATGGTGGGCAGGGTGCAGGGCTGCCTGCGGCCGGCTGCAGGGACACGAATAGCAGGGAGCAGGACTACAGAAAGCAACTTTGTTTGCCACTGGGCAGCCTGCCGGGTGTCAGCACACGGGAGCTTGGCCCTGCGAGGCCAGAGGGAGAAGGAAAGGAAAAAGCATCTTTCTTTTCTCTCTCACCGTCCCCGGAGCACAGAGGGAGGGAGAGGAGGGTTTGGATAAAGATCGCATTATTGACTGTCACATCTCTAAAGCTCCTTTTAAACCAGAGGCTGCCCAGGTACAGCCTGAGCTGAGGGCATACCCGTCCCATCCAGCACACAGCCGCCTCGGGGTGGGGAAGGGACCGGGCACAGCTCAGGGACCACAGGCAGGGGCACTTTGGGCAACGCAAATTGCCAGCTGTAACCAGGATGAGGGGCTGCTTTGCAGCCCCACACAGCAGCTGGGGCTTGGGCTAGGGGCTCACCACAACCGTGTGCCCACCACCCCTGTAAACTGCCCTCGTGTGCTTCCACGGCTCTTGCTCACAGGCCAGTGTTGCCCTTTGGGGGATGCACGAGCCACCACAAAGTCAATGTGGTCCTGCCATCACCTGGTGGTCCATGGGCAGTGGGAGAGCTCCCCTTCCATGCCAGCCCTGCAGCCCAGGCAGCCACACACCATCCTCCTTCCTCCTCAGCTTCTCCTCTGCATCTTCACCTTCGCCATGGTCCTGGTCCCCGAAGCGAAGGACCAGAGCAAGGCAGCAAAAGGGAGGAGACGGGGCCCAGCACGGCCCCCCACAGCTGCCCCTGCCCTGGCCTGGGCCCCGGATGACTCCTACACCTCCATGGCAGACTATGAGCACAGCATCCAGGACATGGTGCGCCAGCTGAGGAACAGCTCTGAGCCGGGAGACACCAAGTGCCAGGTCAACCTGAGGCTCTGGAGGTCCAACCGGAGGAGCCTGTCCCCCTGGGCCTACAGGTGAGCTTGGGGCGGGGACATGCATGGTGGCTCCATGCCAGCAGGTGCTGCAGCGGCCATGGCTCCAGCATCATGGGGCTACAGTGGCTGCTGGGGGGGTGCAGCGTGACGCAGTGCCCCATTTCACCCTACAGAGGCATTGCTCTGCCTGTCCCCGGCCACCCACTGCCCCCTGTATCACCAGCTCTCCATCCCCATCTTGCTTTCCCCCTCCTCCAGCATTAACCATGACGCAACGCGGATCCCGGCAGACATCCCTGAGGCCCGATGCCTCTGCACTGGCTGCATCAACCCCTTCACGATGCAGGAGGACCGTACCATGGCCAGCATTCCCATTTACAGCCGGCTGCCTGTCCGCCGGCTGCTCTGCCAAGTGCCAGGCGAGGCTGGGCACAAGCCCTCTGGGAAGAAGTGTCACAAGAAGTACCAGACAGTCATGGAGACCATTGCTGTGGGCTGCACCTGCATCTTCTGAGGTTGCAAAGCTAACCCCTGCAGCCACACATGGGCATCTAACCAGCTTGCTCTTGCTTCCCGAGCTTGCCTGGCGCTCAGGGAGAGGGTCTCCTGGCTGAGCGTCAGGGTGAAGAGAGCCCTTGACCAAGGGAATGGGAGCTCCAAGAGCTCCCCGAAATCCTCCTGCAGCTCCCCTGAAATCCATCAGCCTCAGCCCAAGCAGCCATCTTGGGGACACCCAGCATGGGGGCAGCCCCTGCAAGTCACCCAGCTATGCTGTCCTGCAGCTGGCCTCGCAGTGAGACACCGGCCCGAGCCTCCGAGCCTCCAGGGAGGAGCTCAGCAGAGCAGGCTGGGTGATGGAGGCAGCTGCCCCCCAGTCCTTCCAGCTGGGCAGGATCAGGCCTTCTCCCTCCCCAAAGTCCCTGTTTACCTTCATCTGCTCCATCAGTGCAACAGCTCTGGGAGCACCCGGTCCTCCCCAGCCCGCGAGCTCCTCTGCGCTGGGCCAGGCAGTCCAGGGAGCAGGGAAGTGGAGGGTGGTTTGGGCAGCTTCTGAGGTCCTCAATAAAGCGCATCACTGGCCCCCGCCTGAGCCGCCCCCTGCCTCCCGTCGCGCTGCCCCTCCGCCCCTGCCTGCCTGGGGGTGGGTGCTGCCCAGCCTTCTCCCAGTGAGGCTCTTCTGCCCCCCAAAAGACAGTTGAGCCCCAGGCTCAGGGAAGACCAGACACCCCTGGAAACAGGCACCTCTCCCTGCAAGCCAGGACCTGCAACAGCCCACCCCGCATGCCCGTGCCCGGGTGCCAGGCTGGTGAGCGGGGCTCCAAGCATGCATGGCACGGGAGAGGCCATGGGACCTCCTGCCCCAGCCAGGGCCAGCCCCGCCACCCCGGTTCCCAGAGGCAAAGCCGGGAAGGTGGGAGAAGCACAGGGGGAGCCAGGCAGCTTGCCGGGGGCAGGACCCTGTTCCTGCCTAGGGCCAGCACCCATCTGCAACCGATGCCAGCCAGCCTTGTGCTTGAAAGACCCCCTACGTCCCTCCAACAAATGGTTGCGCAGCAACCTTTTTTCATCGGAAAAGGCACAGGCTCCTTCCAGCAGAGCCCAGGAGGGGGAACAGGGGAACTGAGGCACACGGCACAGACGCAGCAACACTGGGCAGGGACTGCCTGTATTCCTGAAGGCAAAGCAAGTTCAAGTCATCTGGGACACAGCCCAACCCCTCTCCCCCAGCCCCAAACCCCCTGGTGTTCCCAAGGCAATAAATACTCCCCAGGCTACCACACGCAGAAACTCCCATCCCACCGCCTCCCCTGGGTGTCACAGCTCGGTCTTCACCTTGTGCATCAAGTCCTTCTGGTCAATTTTCTCCAGGTCCTGATACCAGCGGTTGTAAGCCAGCAGGGCCACATTTTTGGCTGCCACCGCTATCATCTCCATGGAGCTGGCCACCCACTCCACGCCACTGAGGTAGAAGAGGTTTTC